AAAAAGACTAAATTTCCCTTATGATATTTTTTATGTTTTTTTCTATTTAATTTAATTTTTATTGTCTAAATTCAAATATGACCCCCTCTTTATCTCCCCCCCATATTCTCACTTTCATCCCTACCACTGCTCAAATCAAATACATATATCAAAACCATACGATTAATTTCTAAAGATAAATCAAAACCAAATCTTACACAAAAAGATCAGTGCTCGATCAATACATATCTGAAAGCGCCATCAGATGTGTTCGTCGGAGGCCGTGCGAACAATGGGTTGGAGGTTGATTTGTAATTTTCAATCTTGATGAAGCCAAGGCAGATAAAAGCAAGTTAATGATGGTTTAGGAAGAGAGCAATAATGATGCTGAACCATATGTCCTCCATTGCTCTACCTACAATCTGTAATTCTCTCTATGGAACCATATGATTCCATAATATCCATTTACAGGTAAGCCGTTAACCGTAGCGACTAATATTTGAACATCACCTTCGTTTGATCGACTATGCCTGTAAGACTTAATGCCCTATTGTTCGAATCGCTATTCATACATTGTTTTGGTCGATATGATTGTTGTGAATCAAATGAAACCCTCTAGACTGTGGTGGAGGTGCACCGAAGAGCATTAAGAACTTCGTTTGGGACATTTGTATTGCAGAGTATTGAGTTCCTTCTCGTAATATTAGTTTTTGTTAGCAATTTTATGATTTTCAGTATTTGATTCAATAAAGGGTTTAGGGTTTTATACAGAGATCATTTCTGAAACATTATAACAAACACAATTGAGAGAGAGAGAGAGGTGGACCCATTTTTTATTTTTTAATTACTAAGTTGAATGAATAAATATTATATGAAAAAATAAATACATCAAAGCTATTACAATCATTTTAGTTTACCCAGGGACCAAAACCACAACCAAAGTTGCTCAAAAGGACCACCGATCCAAAAATGTTGTGGTTTCGACCAAATCCCGGAAAAAATGCATACCACAGGAACTATTGTTACAATTTTGTCATATATATATATATATATATATATATATATATATATATAGTGTTAGTGTGTTTCTAGAACCGTTTTTGTTTAAATTTTTTTTAGGGATGGGGATGTTATTTTTTTTGTTTAAATTTAAATCAAAAAAAGTAATAAAATTATAAAATAAATAGGAAAAGAAATTAATGAAGGTAAAACCAGCATTTTAAAAAAAATTCATAACAAATTGGACCAAAGTCGCGACACATAAATAGTTTGGATCGGTGGTGTTAGTCCAAATATTTTTGGACCAAAGTGTCAATTTTCAGCTAACCACAACCGTTTTTGCATTTTAGTCCTTATTTTATTCACACTGTTACTTATTTTTAATAATGTAATTGTATAATATTTATTTTAATTTTTTCAATTATTTTAGATTCAAAATTACGAGTTCAAGGCTAACCTTATTTGATTGGGATGTGAATAAGTTTGTGCAAAAAAATACACAAGATTTGCATGACAAGATTTGTGCAAAAAAAATACACAAGATTTGCATGACAAGTTTAACGAAGTTTACATTATACTAAGTTTAAACTTATATTAATTGTTTCGTTTTAAAAATCTACATTTAGTAACTTGATTTTTATTTATTTTTATAAGAGGATAATATTAAAAGTTTTCCATTGATTTGAACATCATCTTGTATAAGAAGTTTGTCTTCAAAATTCAAGTTTCAGAATTTAATTTGAAAAAAAAAATGTTAAACGTTATGTCATATCCAACTTGTCTGATGATAATACAATAATTTCTTAACTACATAAAAAATTCAACATTTACTTGGTAACATTTTTTACAAAAAATAATTCGAGCACATTATTTACAAAAAAATATTTCAAATAGTATCATGTTTGCCAAATGGGCTGAAACTATCAAGTTTTGCAAACCATAAGCTAATCCTAAAATTTGGTGTTTCAGTCATATGTTACTCCGAAACATTGATTAGAAAGTGGTTTATGTAATGGTATTAGACTACAAGTAATATCATTGGGTAACCGTGTTATAAAAGCAAAAATTATATATGATATTAATATTGGAACTCATATTTTTATCGCAAGAATGAGTTTGACATGCTCAGACAAAAAACATATTTCACATTTTAAAGAAGACAATTTCTACTAGTTGTATATTTTACGTTGACAATAAATAAAGAGTCAAAGACACTATCTATAGAAGGTTGGGTTGTTTTGAGTCAACCTGTACTACACAAAGGGGAGTTATACGTTGCACTATCTAAAATTAAAAGTAGAGAATGACTTAAACTATTAATTTTAAATAAAGAAGACAAACTTACCAATAAAACATCAAATTTTGTATACAAATAAGTAATTTCATATTTATGAAATTATAATTATTTTTCTATTTTGAATATTATTGTTTAAAATGTTAATGCAGTAATATATTTGTAATATCAATCATATATTTATATGAAAAATATTTGATTATCATTCCTTAGTCTTCATTATTATTATTGAATACTTTTTTTAATTAATGTTTACTTACAAAGAAAAAAAAATCTTATTTCAATATTCTACTTCCAAACTTTAACTATTTTAGCACTGTACTTTTAATGTCTTACTATTTCTTTATGTTTGTGTGGCTTTTTATATGTAAAATTAATAAAGTACAATACGTTATTAATAAATATTTCCAATTTACAATAATGTAGTTTCTAAGTATTTCTTAACATGACATTGTACTTTCATTTTTATTATTATACTTATGTAAAATAATTTTAAATATATACTATACATACCATTCTACTTTAAAAGTACAAATTCGTAATACAAACAAATGAAGATTATGAAAGTCATATTTCATACATTTTCACCAATGTACTTTCATATTTTTTATATTTCCTCATATTTTAGTATTGTATTATATATATATATATATATATATATATATATATATATATATATATATATATATTATACTTTAACAATGTAGTTTGATTTTCTAAGTTGTAGTACACATGTTTTTAACTGATTTTCTAAGTTGTAGTACACATGTTTTTAACCTAGTTCTTAATACGTTATAATAAAGATATGATATAACTGAAAATAACAATCATAAATGGCCATCGTGTTTTCAATATTTGTGGTAGACGAGTATTGTACTTTTTCGCCTCTCTATAGCTACAATATAATTCATGTTTATGTTTGAAGATGTAAAATTGTTAGTTTATTTTGTAAATTTAATGAATGAGATTGTAAGCATTGACTTTTAGTTAAAATATAAATTAATAGTAATTTGAAAATGTATTATTGTTTATATTGTTGGAAATTTCTTCTAACGATCTTCTAACCATTATATTTGAAGAAAGAGAAGTAAATTTTGTATTTTGAAAATTATTTTTCGAGCATCCATTAGTGCAAACATTAGGATGGGAGACTGTCGAGTGTCACTATTCATGATAAGTCGTAGGGGTTTGACAAATTAGGTGTCGTTAAGTCGATGTGGCCTAGTGTGATGGTTTACTAGTGCCTAGTCTATAATCTAGCAAAATGGAGGAAATTATCTCATTAACTTGATTGGAGGAAATTATCTCATTAACTCGATGATTAACCATCTTTTTGGTGAGTTGGGCATTACGAGATGGACAAGGGTTAGAAATAGATGCATGCATTACATATTATATGAAATTCTTATCCTTTTTTGGAGTTTTGAGACGACTTGTTGATGTTAGCTAACCAATGTTTAGCGTTGATACTATTTGGATATATGTGTTATATATTGTCCATTTTTATTAATTTTGGGTCGCTACAACCCTAAATCCATTTATGATTTTTTGAGGTTTGATTCGAGTAAGTAGATTGTTATCTTTTTATTCAAAATGAATCACCCTTGAGTTTTCTATCTTCACAATTTCATTGCCTAATTAATTTTGACTTGTGTTTTGTGTTCAGATTGAAGACTTTAGAGACGAGACTTGGAGTAGCAAGGACTTTCATAAAGCCACAGCATGTGTGGTTATTAAAATATGTTATGATATTTTGATTGTTACATCCTCGCTGTCGTAAACTTAGAACTTGTATTTGAATCTTGGGACCGTTGTTTCTGCAGACTTAAACTCTAAACTTTTAAAAATTAAAACAAATGCCTTGACCAAATGACTTGATAAGCAACCATCAAAACCCCATACTCTTTGTTATCTTTTTCCTTTTCTTGTTATGATAACAACCATAAGCCAATATCACGATGGGTGTGGATTTCCAACCACCACCGCTACATTCTTTAACGTTAGATCCCATTAGCTCTGCCACCGACCATGCACACTCAGTTTTTGGTCATCTTCTTTCCCTCTCTTAGGCCCGAACATTAGCTACAAGCTGATTTTTCCCGCACACCCGAAATTCAACCCAATTTAATAAATTTTGTTTCTTTTATTTTTATCCCTCGATTGTTTTTTCTCTAATAATGTGGTTTTAGAAGGTACTTCTGATAATACCCTTCACGGATCTCAGCTTCTCAAATTGCTTGATTAATGTACTATACATATGCAATGTGTAAGAGGTACCAAAAGAACATGGTGACTCCCTTCATGTTGTAGGCGGTAAAAAAAAACTCTCCTTTATATATATATATATATATATATATATATATATATATAATATATATATATATATATATATATAAGATTATTGCCTATTTATTTACACATTGTACAAGTTCATGCCCACCGATGTAATTTTTTAACAACCCCCTTATTTTGTTGGATCGCTTGATTCTTGTACATCTTCCTTAGTATATGTGTTTGCTACTTGGGTTATCAGCATATGTTGATGTGTGTATTTATTCAGTCTTGTGGGTTACTTTTATGTGTACATTAATAAGATTTTAAAAGGAAATGTGACCTAATGCTTGATATTTTTTTTAAAGAATAAGCACATAGTATCCCCACTTGACTACTAACTCAAGTAACCTTAGTAAACCTTTTAACTTCACTCTTATCAAAACTACACATTTACAAATACAAACTTATACAAGGATATACACATGTGTTTTTTGAAACACTATAGATACAAACTTATATAAAGATATACACACCAATATCACATAATATCCGCAAAGGCAAACAAAACATCACGATGTCAAGATCCACATGAACACAGTCGCCCATCCGGTAAGTGCAAATGTGGCTACTAAGTAAGTCCACATCATAAGCACTGAACATTCTTCTTGCCCCACATTGAATAATTGTGTCATTGTACCTGCATCAAAATCATTTATAATCCTAATTCTCTATCCAAATTCATTCATTCATTTTAATTTACAATAACACTAGAATTACTTACTGATGTTCATGGCAGGTGGCAGGGTGTACTGAATCAATAGTAGGAAACTAAAGAGAGGATCTGCAGGAAGTAGTTCTAGACCATCAGCTGCTTTGATCACAAGGATTCCAACAATGGGAGAAATAACATATCGTATACAGATTATTGTGATGATGATATTAGGCCTGATGCTTGCTCTCTTTAATCCTGTAATCAATTTTATCAAGAATATAAAATAATTATAAGTGACCAAGTGTTTCTATGGTTGTTTAGGTTTTACCTTGTATTAGGTTGCCTCCTAGTATAAGAGTGATACAAGGTAAGGTTCCATCCCTATATAACAAAGTAAGAAAATGTTGTTAAGATAGATTCAAATCCAAAACATTGCTTCTTAGAAAAACTATAATCGGATAAACATACCCAAGTAGTGTGACAGAATCTTGGATAACTCGTAAAGGAGAATCAACCCCCATCACAAGCTTTTTCAACCATGGGGTCGCCCCAAAAATCATTCCTAAAATCTGAGGACACATATACAATTATTAGATTATTATATCTGTCAAGAATATTAGTTCATAGTAAGTGGATGCTTAATTCATAACACTTACAGAACCAATGTTTGGAGGAGACAACAATTCCTCCAAGAATTTGTGGAGTATTTCTACTAGTTTACATGAGGATTCTTCTTTTTTATCATCATTGCTTCCAGATCCTTCGTGTATAGTCTGAACATATCTATGGACAATCAGATTAACTGTATAATATAATATAACTATCAATATATAAGTTACATGAATGTACAGGCTTACAAGTTGGATTTGTTTTTTATCACTAGTCGAGTATGATAATGGAACAACTAAATCAATATATTCTTGGCTTTCTACACTTAGAAGACATGTTTTTTCATTTGCATTCATGTCTTTGTTGGGTTCCTGTTGTGATTGGTCTTCGACATCTTTCAAATACCTTAAACTTGAGTTTTTTATCAATTGGAAAGTGTATGTCCAAATGTAGAAACTGCCCAACTGTATCATAATTTTTGAATTAGGATCCAATAATGGTGAAAAACTAAACATCATCACAATATGAAACAATATAATTGTTGATGTAGCTTATAGAGGATGAAACAAAATTGAGTTAAATTAAATGAACAAATTAAAAGTAAACTCACCGCAAGGGAGAATGATGAATACGCGAATCCCTTTGACTTGCAGATACTATGTTCTCCAAATGGGCTTCCAGCCTCCGTGCAGATTGCAGGGACAATTATCAATAGAATATTTCCCAGGTTTCCTAACGTGTAAATCAAAAAAAAAAAAACCCCTTATACTTCTGAGAAAACGAGGAAACACAAATTTCAAGGTTACTTCCATTGTGATTTAAAAGCATGTTTGAATTTTGATAACTCTACAGAATCTTAGCCTTTAGTGATAAACAATCCATCACTGAATGACATTGTCCCCTTTATATCCTAAGATGTCCCGTGTTCGTTTCCATGTGATTTTTGATGCGTGTGTCTATCGCACAAAGTCTCATTGAAAAAATGTTTAATAAATGTTCATTTGGTAGTAAATTTGGAAAAAATTAAACAGAATTTTCATATCATTGATATGTTATATGAAAATATTAAAAGAAGGGATATTCACAAAGATGAACGTTAGAAATGAAGGAATATTCCAAAATGACTAAAATTATATAGAATTGAAAAAATGACCATCTATTCTGAAACAACGCATTCTCGGCTATCTAGAAATCAGTGAGACGGGACATAAAGTGATCTAAATATGGCATTTTGGATAGACATAAGGTACATTTCGGAAAGTCCTTAATTTCATATTCATATGCTGGACATGAATTAAAAAAAAAAATTATCTATGTGGGTTTAAGGTCTTACTATTTATTTGTATCTCAATATACTATTTTGTTATTCAAAATGAGTTCATATAATAAGTTTTTTTTGAGACATTGTTTGTAGTGAAGGGCAATGGAAACGAATCAACGACATTATGCAGTATGTGGCATCGGATTACACATGTTATGGTGTGAATTTAACCTATGATATGAACTTTAGTGGGTTGGTTAGCATGGTGGCTTCCAATTTCAGACTAATTAAAATATTTTGTCTTTCGAATGTCCCAGATCGAATGTTGTTATGTAGATAATTGTTGACATTGATGTTTAATGAATATTTTGTTATTGTTGTTACTAATAATCCTTCGAAGTGGTGTTCGCCGATGAGTTACATATCAATCTCCTAATCCAACTACATATCTATTCCTAACCAAAGGGCTTCTAGCCCAGCGATATCCGGTGTTGTCTTCTCTCCTTGAGGTTGAGGGTTCAAGTCCCGTTGTGAACATAGGTGGATTTAAGAAGTAATTTAGGAGTAGATTAGATTTGCCGTTTCAAAAAAAAAAATCTATTTCCTAGGAAATGGGCTTGTAATTTATTGCTTATTACGCGAGTCCTCTTGACACAAGGTACGAAACACAAGTTTCTTACGATGGACATGTATAGACATTGATGGGCAACGTAAATGTAAGTAAGTCTCTCTCGTCATGGATTAGCCATTAAAAAAATGGTATAGGTGATTTCATAAAGGATATACGGCTGATAATACGGAGAACATGTTACTTTTCACAAAAATTGATTTTTATACAAAATTTAAAAAATTGGTAATGACTTTTCACGAAATCTGATAAAATCAAAAAGGTTTTCTTAAATCTTCCTCACATATATATATAAACAAATGACAAATATAAGTAAGTACCTGTAGAGCACATAGCAATCAGTAGGCCCTCCAAGTGTGGTTTTGGTTTAATTAGTTTCGCTGCTATCCACCCCAATGTCCCTCCAACAATAAATGTCATTCCAATATTTACTGGCATAAACCACCTACATAATTTGAGATATTATGTTATCACGATAACGGGTATTAATTAGTATATTTGTCGTGTAAAATGAATATTAATGACATAAAATCATCTTTATGTGTGTGTGCGCACACACACACATGCACAACCAAATAAGTTCTTACCAGGAGATAATGTCTTCAAGGTTGACGGTTTTTGCAAGACTAGCAAAGATAAGTGAGGGAGTAAATGCCACGAAAACAATCTGCAAAAACGTTACATTCTATTAAACCGATTGGTTGAAACTTTAAAACAACAAATAACAAATAAAGTAATACAGACTCAGATTGTTTATTTGATCGGTAGGAAGTAGTAGTTTTAAAATGTCAAAGTGTTCAGGCACTCACCTTATTTAGTGACTTGCGGGCATCACCAGAGAGAACATTGAAGTAATCGGTAGCCATGATTGCTCCAATTATACTCACTAGCAATACCTCCAAAATCGGCATTGATGCCACCTCAAACAACGACCAAAACCCCATTTCTCTCCCTCTGAAAATGATGGTTCTAAAAAGGTTTTTGATGCAACTTTTTTTAATTTCTCCTTTCTTTGTGTCTACCTTTTTCTTTTTATATTATACAAGGGTGTTGCTAATCAAAGAAAGATCCTGGAAAATGTAGGACCATGAAGCCAACGTGAGTTTAAATTCATGAAGATTTCAAACAAAATAATAAGAGTGACTTGAAAATTTAAAGAAACACTAAATGGACAAAATGATACAAGAAACACTTAATGAAGGACCATAACAACTCGATATCATTGTTCGTGGTCTTATAATTTTCTTGACAAGAGATTGAACAAGGATGCAATTTTTGAAGCTAGTTTATACTTCTTATTCTTGGTTAAAAAAAACACACATTTGATTATCTTTAGCATTTAAAATTTTCTTATGAATTTTATTTATTTTTTAGAACGATTAACACATACCCCTTAATAATATGTCCAAAAAATCTTTAAACAACGAGGATGCTGCGATAAACATATGGTATAACATTATTGGATATGATACTGAATACAAAAATCATAAATTCATTGAGTGTGACATCGATCTCCAAAATATTAATCGATGTTTCTACCTTTAAATGAAAGTATGAATGTATACCTCTACATCCTCATTAGGCCATTTATTATGAGTTGTTAGGTATTGTTGTTTGCAACTATTATGTCATACTTTTTTGTAATCATAATATATAATATATGACCAACTACTTAATATTATTAAATTAAATGTATTTTTTTCACACACCAGCCTAGTTTTCCAACACATACACACCAGTCTAGATAGGCAACAAATAAATCATAGTTAATTATTTATTAGCTAATCATTGTATTGTTTTCTAAACAAATTATTTTTTCTCTCTTATTTTCCTTTTCTCTTTCATATTATATATAATAAGACCTTTAAATATAAAGTCCATTATTATGTAAACTTAAACAAAAACTATTCTATTGAGATGGGAGCCTAATGGTTGAAGAGTGAAATTACATACTTATTTTTTAGGGTTCAAATACTGACACACCCAAAATATTGCTAGTATTTTTTATTTGACCTCCCACGTAGGCGTTCGAATAGTTGACGTGGACCGCTTAGATAATATTGTTTACTATTTTTTAAAAATAACATTAAGCTGGGTAAAACTTTTTCTTAAATAATTTAAGTCGGTCTTTAGTAAGTATGATAAACCACGATAATTTCGGATCTTAGCCACTCAATTTTGTTCTACAAGAAAATCGATAGGGTTTGAGGATGCTACAAAAAAAATCGATAGAACTAAGGGTCTGAAGGAATGAATAAAATAGTCAATTTAAGGTATCTATTAATAATGCCAATAACTAGATTCCTTATATAATGCAAACACTTCTAATTACCAAACAAAAACTTCTAATTGTGTTTCCCATCATATTACTAATTTTTCCAATCCATCAAAATCCAGTTTTGTATACTAATCCACTATGTAAGAATACCCCCCCCCCCCCCCCCCCCCCCCCCCCCGGTCGATTATTACTCCTCTACCGATCCAAATCTATCTAAAACACTAGTGCTAACGACTAGTTTTGCAAAAAAACTACCATTACATCGGTTTAGAATAATTGTCGCATCCGCAAAATACGTCACTTTCAAATTTTGAATAGATAAAGGATGATCGCAACTGGATTCAATTTTTGTAAAGAAGTTGGTGAAAACCGATCAGAAAATAGGTAGCGTCAAAAAATTACGCCAAAAAATGAGAAAGAAGACTAGAAGAAGGCGACTCCATAATGAACGTGATTTATGTTTCACTTCCATAATTATAGGCTTTAACTTTTTTAAAAATAAATTATTAGTTTCTTATTTTGGGATAATATATTAATTTATTGGAAAACTTCTAAATTACCTCTATCAATTGATTGGTCCACAATCGATCATCCATTCACATACTATGATATCTTCATTTTCACGGCCAGAAAAGATCAATTTGTTTATGCTTTATTTTAAAAATCAGAGTATCTTTTTAAAGAAAAGTGTTGCGGAATTTATTCCCAGAAAAACATTATAAACATATTATCAAAGCATTTCCGAAGAAATGTATTTTGTTTATATTAAAATTTTGGGATGTCATTATCAATACAAAAACATAAGCATAAACAGACCTTACATTCATTTACATTAATGATCTACATCTCTTTTAATCTCTCAGTGTAATGTAGCTTCGTATCGACACATGTGATACAAATAAACTGAGTCGGTCAGGTTGGGAAACCTAGTGAGTACATAGGGTTTTCAACCCACAATAATATAATTATTATGTTTAACCATCAAACAATCAACCCAATTACCCATCCCTATTATCTTCTTTATTCTTAAGGATCTACCATAAGAATCAGTTATCCTTCATTCATTCATTCCTAAGGATTATCCTAAGGAATAAATGAATGAAGGATAGCTAATTCTTAGGGTAGATCCTTAATAATAAATAAGATAATGGGGATGAGTAATTGGTTGATTGTTTGATGATTAAACATAATAATTATATTATTGTGGGTTAAAAACTCTATGTACTCACCAGGTTTCCGAACCTGACCCACTCAGTTTATTTGTATCACAGGTGTCGATACGAAGCTACATTACACTGAGAGATTAAAAGAGATGTAGATCACTAGTGTAAATGAATGTAAGGTCTATTTATGTTTATGTTTATGTATTGACAATGACATCCCAAAGTTTTAATATAAACAAAATACATTTCTTCAGAAATGTTTTGATAATATGTTTATCATGTTTTTCTGGGAACAAATTCCGCAACACTTTTCTTTTAAAGGATACTCTGATTTTTAAAATAAAGCATAAACAAATCGGTCTTTTCTGGCCGTGAAAATGGGGATGTCACAGTTGGTATCAGAGTATTAGTTTAAGCGAACTAGGAATTGTAGGAAATTTCTAGACTTAAACTTAGAATGCTAAGCGATGATCATGAGGAGTATGTCTAATATATTTAGGATGTACATCTGAATTGACACAAGCACTAGCTTACTTTAGGATTAGATGCCTAAATTGCTTTTATGTGCTAAATGATTTATGTTATAGCCTTATATGCTTTATGATGCTATTATTTGATTGGATCCATAGTCTATTGCTGATCGGATCTGAAAATTTTATGTGTTCAGATTTCTAAACGTTTAATTACGATATTAGAACTGGCATATAACTTTTCGGAGTAATAAGGAGGATTACACGTCTAAACCTCCTCTATCTATATTCTCGTCCTGATACGTTGAACGCATGCTTCGGTGAACATAACGTTATGGTGAAGACTCGTAGAGAATTGAGTAAACGGAGGAAATGTGGAGGCTTACGATAGCGAATGACACCTATCGAAAGATACCATAAGAGAGGTGTCTTGCTTTTAGAATACGTCTGATAAAATAACAGTACGTATAAAGGAGTACGGTACATCCAAATGTATACATTTGATTGGAGGGATGATAGAAAGATTGGTGTAATTCATGAAGTTGTCATATCGTCTGCGTTTCCACCACTAACCGAGTTGAAGCAGAATTGATGATTGAAGATACGCAAGGAAGAAGTCCTAGTAGAGTCTAGGGAAATTTTATGATTATTTGGACACATTCGTATGTGTTAAATCGTTTTGTGATTTTAAGAAATAAGAACTTGGGGACTGCGAGACAATACTTGGGACAAGTATGAGTAAGTGTGAAAGCTAGTAGAGGCCTATACTACCGAAAGCACAGGACTCGCACTTGGATCAGGAAAAGTCACAAGGTTACCAAGGCGCTAGTAATTGATTATGTTTTGTTCATGTCTGTCGTTACCATTGTTTCGGTAATGACTAAGAAGATTATTTTTATTCCGAACCTAGTGTTCATATCAAATCGAGTCCGACTAAGACGAGTATGTTACGTGGTTCAGAGAACCAAGATCGATGTAACATCCGACTTAAGCCAGAAGATTGAAGTGAAAGATAATCAAAGTGATCAATAGAAGTATCGCAATCATTGGTAAAGTAAGAAGCTTATAGCTAGAAGTGCTACATGCTAGAATGTGATTATATCACATTAGAACATGAAGGAAAGTATATTCCTTTATGGAATTTGACTCTAAAAGACCTGAGTCTAAGCGTTGCATCATACGATGAGAGGTCATTAGAACATGACCCATCAGTATGTTACGATAAATGAAGGAAAGAACTTATCTTAAGTCTTTTAAGAAGAAGAAGGAGTCTTCAATAAGGATTGATTTTGTAACTCAAAGGTTACCATTGAAAGTCCAACGCGAAATAGAGAGCGGGTGCAAGATCGAACACCGCCTGCAGTCGAGCAGTCCAAGAGTTAGATACTCATTCGAAGGAACATATTACAGTTATTACCTAGGATGAAGAGATAACGTATGGATTTATTATACAAGCCCTGCTTCGTTGATGATTCCAGGACATAATCATCCTAAGGGGGAGATAATTGTAGCGCCTGCAGATTCGAGCTAGTCAATTTATAGACAATAAGCGTCAAAAATGACTTTTTGATGGAAGATTATTTATAATAAATAATCTTAACTAAGTTATAGTATATGTCACAAGGTTTCCGTACATATAAAGAACGCTGGAATCCGATTAATAACGAAGAAGTTATGACCTGTCGAAGTTTCGCGACAAAACGACACGACACCGGGAATCATAAAAAGTGAGTTTACGATGAAGTAATTTTTAGCCTTAGTGATCTAATAGAAAGTTGTAGAGTACGTCTCCACCTATGCGTGGATATAAATAACAAAAACGGAGTTCGTATGCAAAAGTTATGACCTTCCGAAGATATAGCAGTCTAAGAGCATGACACGTGGCAGAAACCCTAATCAGCCATGCTCCACGACATGGACATAAAATTCATGACGTGAATGTGATCTAGGACACTTCTCAAGTCTAGAATGCAGATGGAAAGTCTACGGGAGTGATGTGTTAAAACTCCACGATGTGGACATAAAGGTCACGACATGAAGTCAGTATTTTGACACCTTCCGAAGCTAGGACCCAAATGGCAAGTCTACGAGGTGATGCAGCTATGTTTCACGACGTGGACATGTTTTGGGCTGCCTATAAATAGCAAGTTCGACCCTTTCATTC